AGACGGTCTAGGGCATGCGTTCCACGATGACTTTGATTACTTGTATGAGATGTTCATTAGGGAGGACATGACGTTTCTTGAAGAACATGAGGCATGCACAAAAGAAACTCAAATGTCTGTTGAGAGATCGCGGAAAAAGAAATCCGACTAGACGAGGGAAAAGCGAACGGATGAGATGATTTGGCGGAGGCGTCCTAAATGCTCAATGGTCCTCCTTCAAAGTCTACAGAAAGCTGTACGGGAAGAATGAAGAAAATAAAAGGTTAATCGTGTTAGTTTTAAGATGAAATTACAGTCATCTCTTAAAAGTATATAGATTACACGTCGATCTCAGATCAACTGGCTGGTCATTCCAAGGATACGTTCGTCTAAAAGCAAAGAAAGGAGAGTGTTTAGGGGCGAAGAAGGCAGGAGGAGTTGTAATCAAGGAATAACTGCGAAGGTTGTATGGGCAGACAGTAGGCGTAAATACTGAAATTTAAGGAATATTTAAAACATGATTAATGCGAAGGAGACGGAACCCATTTTCACTCAGTTCACATTTGGGATGAGTTTGTTATCCGACAGCCGCCGGCCTAATATCCTGTTTTAACAATTTATTATAGTGTCCCATTCTGCTGTGCATTTTTCCAGTAACGAATACTTGTGGAAATTTCTTGATGCTCCCCAATCCTTGCACATAATTGCCTATATTTACAATGGCGCTTGACGTAGAATAAAAACCCTACTGATTTCACCTTAGTATACATCCGCTTAACATGATTATTGCACTTCGTAGACTCCAGCCACAGGAGCGGCAAACCTGAGGTTGGATATGACTGACTGATGACAAGAAATACGTCAAAAGTTGCCATTCCAATCTTCCTTTCCTGTGTCAGTGGCCTCACTTCGCAACGCCCAAGTTAACACGAATTTCTCCCAACACAGTAGAAGAGAGGAAAAGAGGGCCTCATTTATACGCATGGACTTGTCTCGTTTAAAACAACGGGCCACACGTGAGATGAGCTGCGCTTGCGCGGGACAAGATCGGAGAACCACCGGCGCTTTTCAGACTGCCATCCTGTAGCAGATGTCACCCCTGGCGACGTGGCAGCGCGCCTAGGCGCAGGCTCATTTCGCGCAAGTCACCTGCACCCAGGCCGAACAGCAGATAATTGTCCAGTTCAGACACTGGATTGGTGTCTAAGAGCATGAAGAGATGGTCAGGTCAATTTGCAACGTTTGTGCCTCATTACATGCAATATAACGCTCTTTCAATCAATCACGGGGCACTAAAAACCGTGGCATGAAAGATTGTCAGCGGACGAGATAAATCAGTCCTCTTCTAAAGACGGAGGGTTAGGTTGCCCTGGCTCCTCCTCAATGTGGTCTTTATGGCACTGTCACTCAGATGGAATCTAAACTGAGTCCTTCTTTTTTGTCTGAGAAGCTAATTAAACGTGTGTCGACCAGGCTCGTCGTACGCGCAGACGGGCTATTTAGTCATGTTCGCCACTGCAGTAAATCCCGCCTCCAGTATTCTTGGCTCTATCCCGACATCGGACACAGTGCAGTAGATTCAGCGCAAGCGGTTTATTACCATGAACTTACTCACCCATACGTCGTCATCCATGATCCACCATGTTGTGGGGCGAACTGTGGACATCTTCGTGTGCGATGGCCGAACTGACGCATAAACCCAAAACCAATGAAGGCCAAGTGTAGCCGAAATGGATGAGTTTGATAAGGGTTTTTTCCTTTGTCTAAAGTAGACTGACCGTGCCCAATAGGTCCTATAATAAACCCATTCTATTCTAATAGGTCATAAGTGTGATATTTGGGAACAGCCAGAGTGGCCAATAAAGTTACGCCTTCCTGCATCAATTGATGGTGGAGTTCTTCGCAGCTGCTTTTCCAATGTTGAAATGGATGCCTTAGATTAAGCGTTACAGCCACTATATACCGCTTTCTCAAAAATCTTCTTGGAACTTTATGGAATCAACACTGACCAATGGGATAAGGCGTTGGTGCGTTGAGTTACTAATGTGTATAATTCTTAACCCGCATCGACATACTGATGTGTGTTTCTACGTCTCAAAGAGTACGCAAAATTTTTAAGGCTTCTTCACATTTCCACTCATTCCTGCAGGCTATTTTCCATTTGTGGGTCCATCTGGCCTGTTTTCCATAATGTTCGTTATCGCGTCAACATTTTGTGGAGTTATTTTTCCAAAGTATTCTGCGCAGTTGTTTTTGTTGCCTGTGGCACCGTTTTTAATTATGTTCTTTCCCTGCGAAAATATATGTGGCTGAAATTAACCCTGCTGACTACCCTGGGCATAAAATTCCATATATTATGCTCCCAAGGTACTCTCCAATACGATGCTGCAACGCCCACACATACGCGGAGGAGTCTTTGGTTATAGTGGCACACTCGCAGACCTGGAATCATTTCCCAGTAATTTCTACGAGCAGTCGGCTAGGGAACACATTTTTGACCACCGCGAACGCCTGTTCATGGGAGTTACCTGAACTTCATCATTGCGCGCCATTTCGACGGAGGACCGCTAGATGTGAACACTGGCAGGGATAAAAATCACGTATATTATTTAAGCCCGCGAGATATTTTCCAATGGCGTTATGCTCAACACTAAAAAACTAAGACTGAGGGACTGTCATTCTGAACTGAATCTGAAGTCTCCTCAGCCGAAAATTTCCCGAAATTTTTAACTCACAGAAGGTGTGGATACTTTCATTCCAAGCCTGTTAGGCGGAGAACTCGTATAAATATCTTTGTATAAAAGCCGAAACAATGTGACATAAACACTACAAATAGAGAAAGTCCAACTTTAAATAAAAACACGACGAACAACCAGACATTTGCAAAGGAAACTTTTCAAAAAACAGGAGTGTGTTAAAGATCCGGCAAGTATAATCTTGTGCGACTTTAGTAAGAAAAGAATGTTGCTTAAGTTATTGAAGAAATTTAAGTTCCTGATTTCTGACGTTGATGGGTAGTGAGCTGATTACAAGAATTCCGTTTGTTTATATCGTTGTTCTGGAGGGCTCATTGAATCCGGGCGGATCCTATCGATAGTGTTAGTGACACTGGTTCCTCTGTTTCGCGTTGACTGTGTGCAAGTAGCTGTTTTTACATAGAATCAATGGTCTTCTTGTCTGCTCTAAATGTCATCACTTTGATATTAGTTGTTTCCACGACTTTCCTATGCTCATCGGCGTTCTTTGTGTAGAGCTCTTCCTCCACCTTTTCCCTCCTTCAGACAAGACATTTATTCCTTGCCGTCTTCCATTTCTCCACAGGTTCAACATTAAAGGTTTCGCAAGAGGTTTATATCATTTTACCAGTCTATTCGAGTTGTCAAAAAATACCGCCGCGACGTTTTCGAACTAAAATGTCGCTTTCACCTCTTGCCCAAGTGCTTATGTTGCATCCATTGTACTTTTGCTTTACTGCTAATTCGAACTCCGCTCTTACCCTTTGAGAGGCCTCTTAATCTTAGATTTCAGCTTTCCGTCCGTGATATTTTCGGTTTGTGTGTACGCCTAAGCCGGAAAGACTGCCTTTATGTCTATTCCCACTCATGGGCACAACAAGCCTATGATCTCCTAAACGATCACTCATTAAGGAAACCAGAATCAAGAATGATTGTCGCATACGGAATTGAATAATCTGTGGCAGTTCGTAGTCCTGTAGGAATTTCCGGTCTATCCACTGGAAGTCAGAAACAGTCACTCGAAACCAAGCGAACGATCTTAATTGACTTGAACGCATGGCGCATCTGTCTGCATTTTGGGGCCGCCTAATCGACGACCATAGAAGCACCGTCAACAGGCCGTCGTGTGACATGTATGTTTGCGGCAGTTAACTGACTTGCATTTTTGGGGTCAGTACCAGCAGGAAGTGTTCTGCTCTTTACCTTCTAACCACCGGTAACACACGTTTGGGATCTTTTTATTTCATGTGCAAATTGCAGATGTTTTGAAGTTGCTAAATATGGCAGACCGTGGTCTCCCTCATCGTGCCCACTGTTCATTCAATCTACACCGCCCGTAAAATTTCCTCCATTAGCCTCACAATTACACCCATCTAATGCTCTCGACAAGATCTAATCATCCTCGGTCGCCCTCCTATGCTCCAGTTGGATCATAAGAGCTCTATTAAATGATATGTGCCGTTTTCTTTTTCCAGTACTTTATCGCCATAACAAATATATGCCGCGCATTATGTCCACATGCTGTCTTGAGTAGTTGCTGCCTATAAACTTTTTTCAGTTGACATACAGAGGTGCCGCTAAACGCTGTTAACACAAATTAGCAGACATCATTTGACTGTCGGCACCTTATTCGTTATCAGCCAGTTTGAAGTATGAAATACGTCAATACATCTCAGCTAACTAACCCGAATTACGTCAACAAGCCTAGGGATATATGGCAGTTTGCAATTTCTAACTGAAATTTGAACCCGTTAGACAAGCCGTCATTTACCTGGGCTAATGTTTACTTCTCCGATCATTTCTTTTTATAAATATAGATTTGCGGTTCCTCCGATTTCATTTTTAAAACTTTCTTTGACAGCTTTTTCTTATTGATTCTCCACGCTGGCTGAAATTCAAAGTGAATCGCCTATGGTAAGGATGCTTCTTCCGCGCTTGCGTTCACCCCTGATTTTACTGTTCACTTGAATTCAAGCTTACTTTGTATACATGTTTGCTTTTAAAGCGGCGGAGCTTGCGAGTTAAAGCTTCTTGAGTCAGTTTTGCCTCTCCACATCCAAGCCTGTTTTAGAACGACCTGTATTCCATGTTTGTAGGATATCATGACCACGGACCAGGAGGAGGAAAGCCTCTTTCCCATAGCCATCCTCATCGATGAACTCAGAAACGATGACGTCTTGACACGGCTCGCCAGTTTCAAAAAGCTCTCAACCATCGCACTGGCCCTAGAGCCCGAACGGACACGTAATGAATTTATTCCTTTCCTCACTGAGAGCATCTACGATGAGGATGAGATCCTTCGTGAATTGGCAGATCAACTGGCGAAGTTTGTCCCTCTGGTTGGAGGACCGGAATACGTCTCATGCCTGCTGCCCCCTCTTGAAGGTTTGGCCTCCGCCGAAGAAACTGTGGTCAGGCAGAAAGCAGTCGATACCTTACGTCTCCTTGCCTCTAGCTTCTCTGAAAAGGTATTCATTCCTGATTGACCGTCTTCTCATTGCACGCACGCTTTATTATTGAAAGCTGGGGTATGATAAGTTGAGGCGGGTTTAGTTAGGGTTAGTTTGATTTTCGGTTTACCTCTAAAATCTCCGCAGCCACGATGACAATCGCTAATTTCTGCCTTGCTACCAAGAAGTCCTGAGCCTCAGCCGAAATTTCTCTCTTCTCATTTGCGAAAATCCCTGGCTTCCGTTCACCACCTTTTTTGCCGTCTCAGGTCGCAGACCTGGCTGACGAGCGTATTTCCACAATTACACTGATTTATTCAATCATATCATAGCGCATTCCCGGGATTGTCTTTATGCACAAACCGTTTATAATCTAACAACTTATCCTGCAGTCTAAGACTGTACGGCTGTCCTTGGCTTACGCTTGGACAGTAAGTTCTCAAAGTAAATAAAGACAAATTAACGGCCTACCTGGTATAACAGTTTCTTCGTCACAAGTCTTCCCACTACAACTGACGCGTCTTGGCCTCTGCCAGCGGATCGGATGTTAGATTTACGGGTTGGCCTACTCAGAAGGAGGCCTTTGGACACTGCATGCTAAGTCTAAGGAAGTCTTCTTGCATCCGGCAATACAGAGCTTAACCACGCGAACCTTAACGCAGTGCAATGTGGGCGCTACAATGCGTACTGACGATATATGGAAAGATTTCTGACAGACTAATGTATTGCCGGACTTCTTCGGTGCTCTAGCTTCTTCCGTTGTGATCTTCCGCAACAGCTTCGCAACCTGAGATAGGCAACTCTGCCCTGCTGTATTGCACGCCGGTTGCAAATGCAGATTCTGACACCAACAAAACATTCGATCACCTGGCGTCCAACTGACGGCAACATTCAAAGCAAACTGGACCACGCACTTTTACGACCACTATCGACCAGCCCGGTGTTGGATTCCTGCGCGGTACGAGATGATGACACCGGCAATTGAAGTGGTTCTGCTCATGCTCAACTGAGGGCTCGGCCACGACTCATTGTGTTTCATCGAAGAGATGCGACGCGCGGGGAAATAGAGCGTTGATTATTGTCTCGGTGGTCCTGCCACTGGTACGGCTGCTGTTGAACATTTTCCACCGAGCAGATTCAGAGGAGACGCCGTTAGGGCCTATTCAGCAGGGGGAAAATGACTCTCAGGACGACCTCTTGGGAGGTGCCAAGCCACAGCGCATGGATTGGATCTCTGGTTAAACAGTCAGACCCGCTGTTTAAGCATGAGCTGATCGCTTGGCGGTCACTTGAGCTTTAGGACGTATTTTATGAGGAAACTGGCATTGAATGATGGGGTCACAGCGATTTCTGCTCTAAACCTACCCTTTTGCCAACTGTGTTCGCACCGGCGCTGTTCACCTGGGCAGTGGACTGGGCTCTTAAACGCACACCGGAAGACGATTCCGGCGTAACAATTGGTTGTGCTTCTTACATTGTGCATTTTGGCTGCCGCTGGAATTGCAGTGCCCATGAACTTCCTTGCGGGATTGCAATGTATGGTGCCCGACATAGGTGTAAAACATCAGAAGTAAGTTGAATTCCCTCAAAACGAAGATGGTTGTCTCAGGTTTCGCCGATGGAGACAGGGCGGAGAATCTTTTTGTTAGTCAACAAATTCCGCTATGCTGGGCTTAATTTGGCAACGAAAGGACGCAGTAATGTCAAAATCATCCAGGCAAACACCGTCTTAGCATTACTTCTTCGAACCCTACGTGATCGGCATGAGATCAGTGTTAAGGTCAAGCTGAGAACACAAGAGGCTGCTGGAAGCTATCAATCCAGATGTTATTGACTTGGAACAGTGAGTCGACCAAAGTAGTCACTATATATGATGTTACAGGTAAGGCGATGGCGTTATTTCTCACCCTGAGCTATAGTGCACCCCAGCGTTGTTTAACTTGGACACTTCAGCTGCATTACTTCGCGGTACACTAAGCACTACGCCGCCTTCCCTTTTTTTCACTGCAGGACCTCGAGGCCTACTATCTTCCCATGATAGAAAGACTTGCGACCGGTGAATGGTTCACAAGTCGAATATCCGCCTGCGGTCTGTACAGTGCTGTTTACAAGAGAGCACCCCCCAAAGTCGCAAGCGAGCTCAGACAGCAGTTCAAGCAGCTGTGCGCCGATGAGACTCCCATGGTGCGGCGTTCGGCTGCAAGCAATCTCGGTGAAATGGCTGCTTGCCTGGAGCTGGACGTGTTGCGCGCAGAATTCCTCCCAGTGCTGGAAACCATAATTCAGGTAAGCGGTCCAGTCCTGCCCACGCAGACCACCAGTTCCCTGTGTGTGTGATTTTTGCGTCGCCGTGCCACATTCCCCATCCCAACTGCGCACATCGCACATGTTGTATGCTCTGAAGACGGATCCTAAATTCAGCTTTTACCTATTATAGAAGGATGATCAGGATTCAGTCCGTCTACTTGCTATAAACGCCTGCGTGGCCTTTGCGGAAGCCCTGCCGGCTGAGGATGTACAAAAACATTTGGTGCCGTTGATTCGCGAAGCAGCCCAGGACAAGTCTTGGCGTGTGAGATATCAGCTGGCCGATCGTCTAACGGACCTCCAGGCGGCTGTTGGACCACAGATAACATCTGACCACCTTGTAGATGTGTACCAGGTTAGTGCCAGTTCAAGGCTTTTTTTTAAATGACGGAACTCGTAAGTGCAACCCTGAAGACATTATTGCTTTAGGAAATACAACTTTCATTTTTTCCACTTTATGGGAGTACGACAGCCTTCGAATCATCAAACCCTGCATACTCATTTCTTGAAGGCAGGTTTCTAAGAATCAGCCTCAAGTGCATACTAAGTGGCTAATCAAAATGCCCAGTTTCTGCTTTCGCACATCACACCTAGCACATGATACATTGCATTTTCCCGACTTTTTGGCTCAACGCAACAGCCATAAAACCGTCATCCTAGCCGCGCCTTTCTGTAGAACAAGTAAAAGTGCGAGGAACGAGAATAAAATCGGTTCGTTCAGCTCCTTCCAGATTTTTTAAAGTTCAATTAGACCTGAGGTCTATGCTCATCTGTGGATTCTACTGCATGACTAATTTGTTTACACATTTATGCCCCAAGAGATTGCTTATATTTTCCTGCCTTTTCCTTGTTGAAAAAAGCTCCTCCTGAAGGACGCCGAGGGCGAGGTCCGCGCCGCTGCAGCGGGTAAACTAAAGGTCTTCGCGTCAGCTCTGGCACCCGAGACCCGGGAGTCTGTTATCATGAAGACCATTTTGCCCATCATTCGTGAAATGGTAGCCGAAACGAATATGCAGGTGAAAACAGCCCTGGCTGGCGTAATTATGGCGCTGGCACCCCTGCTTGGCAAAGAGAATACCATTGAATTTCTCCTGCCCATGTTCCTTGTGCAGTTAAAGGATGAAAATCCAGACGTAAGTACACAGCGCTGATTCATGCACTGTGGCATGTTTTTTCCCCCGGCTTCAGGTAGATTTATGCACTGCCACTAGGCACTGCTGTCCTCCATATTTTCTTTATTGACTGGTTACCACCTCAACCGGCGGTTTGTCCATCGAGTATGCAGGGAACTAAAACTCGCGGCACCCGCATTATTGTGGGGGAAACTTGCTTAAAATTTATTTCAACCTTCTCGTGCTCATAGTGCGGTACTAGGCCAAGGCGTACCATACAAACCCTCCCATGCACGTGAGCTCTAAAGGACTGGTACGTTCTGTGGTTACCGAGTCGCGCTTGTGGCACGCGTAGACGGGTCTTGAAATGTCTTATTAACAGTCTTGAATCCGACTTCACTGCCTGACAACACTGTGGCGTTATCGCAATCAAAATCGTTGATGCTTGAACCATGACCTGGGACGGCGAAAGGGGTCTACCAGGGACTGACGAATAACCCAGTATAGGCGACAGGAGACACGCCGTTGTCATATGGAATAACCACACCCACGTGACCAATGTTCTCCGCGCATGCTCTTAGAAATAAGTCTTCTCGGTTCTTACCCTTTATTACGATTTCAGACCTGGCAGGTATGCCAAAATACGGAGTAGGCCTCATGGGAACTGTAAATCTTGCGGAAGGCCATTAAGCGAATTTTTTGCCTGAAGCCACTACATTCTTTACCTTAAAGATGTAAACAGCTCGCCCTCTACGCCCATTTGTCCTTGTTAGTTTTACCACCGTGGGTTTCAAGTGCAGAATATGAGTCATTTTTCCGTGCCTGTGTTTATTGAGCTAGCCCACCTCTTTAGGTTTCTGGTATTTGTGGCGGTCTTCCCCCTCAGCCTGTTTGGCATCATTATCATCCTCTGACGTTTTTACCTCGTTAGTGTTCCACATCGTTCACGCAAACATTTTCTGGGCATTTACACAGTTGTCGCCAGGCAACTTTATATCCGACCAACATGCATGCGAGTTGCGATTGTCTCACTTTCCCTGTGAAGAACTGGCCTTCTTACGTAGGCAAACTTACCTCTCAACCCCTGGGAATGCTGATTCGATTGGGATCTTACAGTAAGTGTTACTGAGGAAGACAGCGCCACTTGGAATCGCCATTTATGGGGTTATTATCCATCGTCACCCGGTCATGCCACAACTCCGGACCTGATTTTAATCTATACCACTCATGTGACCTTGGCTATCTCCCATTGCAGCTCAAGGGACGTAGGCCTGTGACCCAGCTGCTGGGGCCTTTGATCTAAACTCGTTGATAAGCTCTCTCAGGTTCAGTTCCTAAGTCTGCCGGCACGGGGTATGCGGGGGTTATGTGGTATGACCGGCCTGCGATGGCAAGTCAGCCAGAACGGGCAATTGTACTTTTTAAGCTATTGATTGCTCTCTGTTATTCGACTACCCGCGATGACTCAGAATCTGATAGAAACGGCCCATTGATGTCATGCGAGCAGGCAAGGCCGGGAAACTTCACTCCATTGTTACTTTGGAAACTGCCTTATAAGCAGCATAGCATTACCGACAAAGACAAGGCAGACTGGGATGGCCATTTCTGGCTTCTTAGCCGTCGTCAGCGCAGTGGCCGACAAAGTTAAAACCCGTCTCCGCACAGTGTACCAGGCATTCTGAGAAAGGAGTTGTTCGAATCTCCCACTCGTGTATCATGCTATCTTATTGACCACGTTTAATTTTTGAATAATTTCAGCTTTATTATTGGCGACATTGACGGGCCGTATGTGCTTGGTTGACCAACCCTGACTCTCCCTCATGCATACCCTCCTGCAGGTTCGTCTGAACATAATCTCCAACTTGGAATGCGTGAACCAGGTCATGGGTATTACGCAGTTGAGCCAATCCCTCCTCCCGGCCATTGTCGAGCTCGCGGAGGACAACAAGTGGCGTGTCCGCTTGGCCATCATCGAGTACATGCCACTGTTGGCGAGCCAGCTGGGCATCCAGTGCTTCAATGACCAGCTAACCAACCTCTGCCTCGACTGGCTCGTAGACCATGTCTACGCTGTCCGAGAGGCGGCCGTCACCAATCTGCGCAACCTGATGAACAAGTTCGGCATCGAATGGGCCACCAGCCAGGTCATACCGAGGGTGAGTTGTTGCACGCTCAGCTATTTTTCCCGACCACTTTTTATAGTTTGTCGTCAAAGTGAAATAGATATTCCTTTTTCGTGTGCGTGGGGGGGGGGGGGCTTAACGACTTTGTGCGTTAAGCAGATTCCATATCTGCTAGTTAGGACTCTTACGGGGGGGCGACTATCATAAACGAGACAATTCTTTGTTTTGCACACACGGGCTAATGGTTTTCTAAGGTTGGCCGCTGTAGATGGTGTGTCATTCACTCTTTATTCAACTACAATTTAGTGACCGCATAATTAGTCCCCAGGGCTACGCCTCTCTTTACCGCGACAATTTTTTTAAGACTCGACACATTCCCTGGTGGATCCACAGACCAGCTATCGGTATTGTGAATGCCAGCTTTTGACTTGAAGAGATGGTCAATTTCAGGTACCACGAAACCGAGTTTTAGCAAAAACGTCACTGAACTGTTGTTGGCATTCGAAGGTGGCCGTGGGCGTTTTAGAATGTCCTAATCCGCTCAACATGAGATTGGCGAATTTTGACCAGCTCTAGGCTGTGAGTCATTCTTTAAGGTATGCGGACTATTTCAATGGTTACTAAGCTGCACTCGTTCCCAAGACGACCAGAAAAACTCCTGCTATTTGCCCCCCTTTTCTTTAGCCTTCCTATCATTTCGCTTGACTCATCAGTATTTGAGGACAATTTTTTGCACTTGTGTTCGGTCCTTGCGTCCAGGAAATTGGGTGTCTAGACCGCCGTTAGTGTGTGTCACGCATTGGGGAGGGACATCGTGCATAATTCATGGACTGGTAGCGCTAACGTGTTTCAGTTTTGCTGTGAGCTGACACCCCCTCCCTCTCTCTAAACAGACTGTACTGCAAACAGGTCAGACCCACGGAATTTGTTTGTCGGTCTGTGCGCGGAGTCCGCGCGAACCCATAACTGCCGCCATGCATGTCTGTCGGGGACAGATGCCACCTCAACCATTCCGCTAAAGCTTAACACCCGTCGGCCGAAATGCTCGGACAGTTCACTGGCGCATGGGATAGGCAAGAGGAAGTTGGACCCATTCCTGGGAGAGTCTTTCCTCACTGCAGATTACCGCACAGATCAGTATCATGAATCGAGCGCGATTGGACCTAGCACGAGCAAACTGGCTCGAAGGGCGGCCGACAGAGGGCAAGGCTCCAGTGACTTCTTAAGACCTGTGTGAGCTCCGAGACCCGTCCCGAACAAAATCTCGATGCGTATAAAGTTAGTGCCCGGGTCGCGTGGGAAGCGCGTAGATTGGCCGTTTGGTCGTGTTGGGTACTGCGCCCACGCTCACATCCCGTATTCTTGAATTTTTCCTCCCATCGGGAGGTGGTGAGTGTCGGGAAGAGGAAGAGTGGGATAGATTCTTTGAAAGTCATTGTTGGACTCACCTTGTGGGACAGTGGTGGACTAGCAGAGTAAGTTGACTGACACGTCCGATGTTCCCCGTCATTGCTGGTGGTTTAACTAGTTAGGTGCCTCCAAATCTGTGAGGAATGTCGTAATTAACGCCCGCAGTATTTGTGAATTTCACAGACTTCACCCGTTCTCTTCCGTATGTTTCAATCACATGACAGAACTTGACGATTTGCCCGTCGTTGCCGACAATGTCCACCGTCAGATCCACAGCAAGGTGAAGCACGCGCAGTGACTTGTGCGTGAATTAGTTGGTAGTGGTGGTAGACTTGCACGGCATCTACCGCACTCCCTCCTCACTCTCCCGCGGCCCGTGTCAAGAAGACCGGAGGCCGAGGGAGGGCGCAGGTGGATGGCACGGTCGACCCCTCACCTTGGCGCTCCACTACACATCCCCTGGTCCCCACAGCAAATGGCTACGTTTTTAATCAACAACAGCAACGGGGAGCCGCAGGGGCCCGGACGTGCGTGACGTCTGCCGGCAACCGGGTCTGCCACCGTACCCCGAAATGTTGGCATATGTTACGGTGTGCAAATCCGATATGACCCCTCTGTTGGTTCAGCGCATCTAACACGTGGCCCATTTGGAGGGAACTCGTTCTTAATCACACAGACTTTAGTTCTTCTTTGGTAGCCAATTTGACTAATTCGGTGGCATTTCATCAGCAACAGGATGTTCTAGTGGACGGTTAAGTACAAAAACACAGTTCAAGTTCTTGACGGAGGTTACGGTGTTCGAGAATTTCCGTAGCGAGTGCTTTCTTCACCGGACCGCCAGGGACACTATTGGCTTACCCGGGGTTGTCTGTGATCGTTGAGTGGGGTGACCTGTAGAACTAGTTCATCTTCACACTCCAATATACTCTTCTGTGTTATCGCCCTCAGCTGCAACACGTTCCAGACTTCGGGCAGGTTTGCTTCAGACTCCCCGCGAATGCCGTGCAGAATACTTCGTTGCACGATACGAGTCTTTTAAGTCACACTTGCCAAGGAAGGTAAAAGAGCCAATGCAGTGCTAGCCAGCACGACCGTCGTTTCACCCTTGCGGCGACGTACTTTGTCCTAGCCCTTCCTGGGCGGTACCAATCGAATATGCATCAAGTTAGTTGCTTACAATTTTCGCTCGCTTGCCATCGAAGTCCTAGTGAATCACAGTTTTTCCTCTTGTCAGTCTTGTTTCTTCATCACTTGCCGGCTGTGGTGGATTTCCTATTTCACGTGCCTCCACCGCCGAAAGTACTTTCTTTGTCACGCGGTTAGACAGGGAGCCCTCGTTATAATCGGGCCTTTTGTCTTTCCAACAGCTCATCCAACTGGCTCACGACCCAAACTACCTCCGACGAATGATTTGTCTGGCTGCCCTCCTCCAACTGGGCGAGGAAGAGGCCTGTCATACGGATCTACTGCCCAAAAACATCATCCCTACTGTGGCCCAGCTGAGCCAGGACGCCGTGCCCAACGTGCGCTTCAAGGTAAGAATCAAACATGTCGCTTTTTTTTCGAACCTGTCTAGCACTGATCCCCCTCCCCCTCCGAGGCACACCCGAGTCTTGGATCTCGGCCAGGGCTAACTGATGACAGTAAATATTTGCTGGCACCCCTTCTACATCCGTACTACTTCGGCTGAAGTTTCGCTGCTCCTTAGCCTGATGGCTCATCATGGCCCGCAAGGATCATTTGCAGGATTTCCTGTAAAGCGAAGTTTCTACCACGTACGCGCAACACTGTCCGTTCTAATCGTTCGCGTCGTACTGTTCGAATTTGCCACTCCCTAACTTGTGTTAAGATCTCTTTAACGCCATCTGCAAAGAAGAATTTGCTTAAGAGTCATGTCAGAGCCGTGCCCACACCCGTAAGGCTAAAGTCGGTTCCCTAAACGAGCGACGCTGTTGCAAATATCAAAGCGGGAGTCAAATGGGTGCATGACACACGTGGGACAGAGGCTTTATGCTGCGTCAGTCACTAGGTCCAATCTCCTTTTTAATCGTTTTGACTCCATGACCACTAGTACACGATGAAAGGTGGTAGAGGATGTGGGGGGGGGGCGCTGTGCGTCATCATTCCTAACTGTAGTAAATCCTGTGCGCCCTTAAACCCTCAGAGCACGCCAAAAATCTTGGTAAGACAGACTGAAAGCCGGCAGTTGCCGACAGGCGAAAGGTCGCATATCCAACTGTAAAAGTTTTCTTAACGGCTTGCATGTGACCAACGCTAAGCAGCTCATCCATTCGTTGGTTGATATCAATTTCTGGTCCTTCTTCGTGTAGCCGTCCATTAACCTTGCAGTGAACCTATGGCCGGCGATGGTTGGTAGGCAACCATGCCACACCCAATTTGTTGCAGATAATGACTCAGGTTAGTCGGTTGTCTGCAGCACGCGCCATTGCGGATTTGCCTAACCACCAGCGTGAGCCTTTCGACGCATCTGAGTCTCGTTATGATTTCCCAGCGTCAATCACCATATTTAGATTCACGAAGACTGCGTATGATCTAATTATCATTTCCTGACACTTTTTTGCAGTGCGAGGATGAGACCGGCTGTACCGCGTTGTCTGAGAGAAGAGTTTTTTTTTCGGGTATGAGCAGGCTGTTTTAGAGAATGTAATCAGTAGAAGAGCGATCTCACTATTTATAGACGCGAAAATGGCAGCATCTTTAGCGTTGTCCCGAATTCGAGAGCCATCGTATTTGTGGATTTCTACTGATGAACTGTTGTTGCGCCTCTCTGGTTGTCTTTTTCATGGTGGTGGGCGCCCAGCTTCGTTTTTGGCTTATCCGCCAGCAAGACCGTCGATGGATCCTTTCAGACTGCGGATTTGCGATTGAGGACATTCATGAAATCAGCGGGCCGGACTCTCGTCGGGTTGTCTTGTTAGGGGGACCCAGACGGAGATCTTGTTCTGACCGTGACGAAGTTCCATGGGGAGATGGGCTGCCGCCAGACCCTTGGCCCGCCACACGCTGTGCACCACGACGGCCAGCCTGACGGAATCGCCGTGCATCTTCTGTGCCACCACGGTTCCATAGAACACTGGGGCGAAGAAAATATGGGGCGGAGTGGGGAAGGGAGTTAATGCATACTCTCTGCCCCTCCATGAACCCGATGAGGATTCAATTCATGGAAAGTTACCGTGAACATAATCTTTACGGATGGAAGCGAATATTCAATTTGCAGATGCTTGTATGATTAGTGAACGAGAAGGAGAAGAGCTCCCGGTCTCGTGTAGGAGTCCGTCGTTAGACATAACAGCAGCAATAGAACAAGTGACCGTTATAGGGGACATTAGTCAATCAACGGACCACACGGTAGATGCACTGGACCAACACAGGGTCTCCATCGATTATGGCGAGCATCATCGGGAATGCGCAACACTCAAAGTGTGGCGCCAGGCTCAGTTGTAGGCTGACGCCACGCCAATTAGGATTCCTGCTGTCCTCCACTTTTGTTGCTGTTGAAAATCCTGGTCATGTGTTTGTTGTGGATTAGGGGGTGTGATGGTACGCCTGGGTGCGGGTTTACACCGTGCCCGCCACCTGCGACCTCTCCCCCCTCAGGTCTTCACGAGTTGTTCATGACGCCGGGCCCAGGTCGGGGGAGGAGGAAAGGTTGTGGTAGATGTTGTTGCGCAAGCCCACCACCACTATAAGCGAGCAGCTCACGCGCTAGTCACCGTCCTTGTTCTCACCCCGTTGTGTGGAGCACACGGTAGACGTCGTCGGTGTCGACGGCCGACCTGCTGGTCAATCAACGACCGGTGCCGCGGACTTGGATATGACAACGAATGGCTCTGTATTCTAGCGTCAAATCAGTTGACTGAGTTTCCATTGGACACCTAGGTTTCAATCAGTTCTCAACCTCTTCTTCTTTCAACACGGGCAAATGTCTTTGAGGGCTGCAAAGTTGGACTCAAGGTATGCACAGGCTATTTTAGAGAATGTAATCAGTAGAAGAGCGATCTCACTATTTATAGACGCGAAAAATGGCAGCATCCTTGGCATTGTCGAGTTTCCGCTTGTCACTATATCTCCTGGAGCAATGCGGTCAATGTATCCCGAATTTGAGAGCCATCGTATTTGCGGATTTCTACTGATTAACAGCTGCTGCGCCTGTCTGGTTGTCTTTTTTATGGGGATGCGCGTGCAGCTTCGTTTTTGGCTTCTACGCCAGCCAGACTGTTGGTGGATCCTTTCAGACTGTGGATCTGCGATTGAGGACATTTCTGAAATGAACGGGCCAATGCCCAAAAATATAAAAACTTCTCTGACATCGAGGTGGTTCCATCTGCGCAGTTACTGCGGTTCGGGACTTGTAGACTTCATTGCTGACCGTGAGGAAGTTCACCATTTCACCGACTTAGCCTTTGTAAGAGGGAGAACGCAGTTCTGCCCACGACGGTGTGAGTCTGGATTTTTACAGCGGTTGATAGGTCTCTTCGTAAGCTGCAAATTGGCCCTCGTGTTTACTGTGTGCGGGTCTAGAGACGCCGCGGTATTGATTTAGATTGCGTCCTTCGATTTCTTCCGTTTTTTCTCGGTATCTACATCTTCTATGGCTTGTAATTCCTCTAGATCAGCTTTAATTCCGCTCATTTGGCTCCGCCTACGTTCGCTGTGCCCCGTGTCATTCCCTGAAATTTGCAGACTCGCGTCCGAGACAACTAATTGATGATCGGTCCGCCGCACATTGTTTTACTCACTAGCACAATACGGCCGTCTCGTTTGCCAACGAGCTGTGGTAGTCCAACGATTTTCAGTGACGCAAACGAGGATGCACCCGTATTGTCTTGTGGTCAGGAAGGCGAAAGTTGGCGCTCTTTATCCGGAGGCTGTGTTCTGCCTGCATCTCCACAAGTGAAAGTTTGTTGCTGTTGCGCTTCCATATTTCCTGACGACGAGACAGCGGCGTCTTTGTCGACTTGCGCACTGAAGTTCTACCGTATAACTGCCTTGTTCGCCTTCAGCACAGATACGAGGCCTGCAGGTTCACGTAGAACGTCTCCTTCACAACTTCAGATCGCACCATTGTGGGAGTCGCTCGAAATGTGAGGGGTTTTGGAGGGCTTGGCTGGCTCTCTCAAGGCGTTTTGTGCAAAAACTCGACCAGAATTGTAAATAAACGGCTCCCCTTTTGGGTGACTTAGTTGACGGGCCTTGCTTACTCGGTATTTTTAAGCACCATATGACCGTCTTATCCTTGTCGTGGCGTATGTAGTGACGTAGGACTTCATAGGCTTCAGGAAGGTCTAGACGCCTGTTGATGGAATTGGCGTCTAAGTACGAAATCTCAAGTGTGAAACGTCCTGTCCTTGAGGTGCCCTGGCTTAAGACAGTTGCTCCCTGGAAGTCAAAACTGTGGCCAGTTTCTCCGTTGCGAGTTGTAAGCTGTGAGTTCAATCCAGTCTCCGAGTTGCCAGTTTGTGCTCTTGTAGACTTGTTTGCAATTTCCGCCTAGTTTCACCGACGTAGTTGCATTTTCCATCGTTACAACGTATTTATTAGACAATTACCGGTGTTTCAGTGGTAGAACTTTCCCATCACCAGTTGGTTGATAGATTCGGGCAGCCCACTCGTACATGGGAGAGAGGGTCTAGAGAATGAGACCAACATTCGGTAATTCATCCCCACGGCTTATCAACGCTTTCCTCGCCATAATAGATCTGGCGCGTCTTGAAACCATCACAATGCGCAGAAAGGCATGGCTTGAAGGTCTTCCGACCGACGGGATAACACGTTCATCCCAGGGCGGAGAGTTAGGCTGCACTGACTACCTAGCGCGGCCCACACCAGGCACCATCACGCGTGCGAGTTCTGAACGACCCTCACAGAAGTCTGGTGCGTCTGAAGTGGAAACCAGGTCGTGTGTTAGCTGCTTGATTTTGTCAGCCATTGCGCCCGCGCCCATCCACGGTCGTCGCGACGTTACCTTGACACCGAAGCGAGGTGGGTGAGGGAGGAGAGGATGTGGTGGCCGTATCTCAAGTCGCCGGTGCTCTGCGGAGCATGCAATGGGCGTCGTCGTCCTTGACCCTCGAACCACCGGGGCTTTTTTCGCGGGTTGAAAAAAAATGGGCTTCGTTGGTGGAACAGCGTCTGTATCAGAGGTGATGAAATGTTGAAAATAGGGCGTAGGGAAATTTGTGTGGGGAAGGCGTTCGCAGCGTCAAACGTACAACCCCTCTCCCACTCTTATCGTGATTTAATGCCAAGATTACTTCAAGTTGACTGGCAATTAAACAGAACCCATGGCTTAACTGATCTGAGCATCGTACGAGCGTCCTACAACGCTATTTATTCACCTAAACGGGGAGGTACATCGACTACTCTCACTTGGTTTGACCCAGACATTTTAAGCAGTTGCATCCGGTATGGCCACTGCTCAAGGCACAGTTTTGTTACAGTGCAGGGGAGACGTTGGACAATCGAATTAGACACCACTTGCAATCAAACCACCCGATCGACTTCCATTTTAGCAGGATGTATTCCCCATCTGGGCACCCCTTAGACTCTAGGCAAACCTATCCACGTGCCAGTAGGTAGCAATACAGCATCGGCTGAAAATGCCTAGATTAGCGGGGCTAAATTTGCTGATTGTTGTAGTTCCTGCTAAGTGGAATAAGTTGACGCCTACCACCCGATTGATGTTGAAGAGCCTGGCAGTGTAATCCATCGGGCTATAGGGTAAGTTCGGCTAGTGCCCCACAAACGGGCCACGTGGTAGATGCGCTGGACCAACACGGGGACCATATCGAATTCCGGCAGGAGTTATCGGATTTCCGTTCCATGAAAAATGTCAACATTTCGGGACATAGTGGCAGACTCGGTTGCCGGCCGTCGTCGCACAAACTGGGACTACTGCCGGCCCCATTGTTTTGTTAATCAAATTCCTAGTCATTTGTTATGTGGACCACGGGGCGGGGGTGCGGAGTGGAGCGCCAAGGTGCGGATCTGTCCAAGCCAACCGCATGCGGCCTCTTTCATCTCCGGTCTTCTTGACTCTATCTTGACACCGGGCTCAGATGGTGGAGGAGGAGGAAGTGTGGTAGATGCAGCGCAAGTTACCGTCCCTGCTCCCACCACCTGCTGTTGGATACACGGTGGACATCGTCGAACACGACGGTCGAACTTTCTGGTAAGTTCGGCTTGAAAAGACACTGCGGCCTGAAATATAAACCTCGCTATAAATCAGGCCGTGTGCCTGTCAACACTGCTCTTTTGGAGACAGTCGTGATCCGCACCGATAACGACGGCGGGCCACTGCAGCTGCCGTGAGTTGAGGTTTTTGGCTCCCATCGTGACTGAGCCGTCATGTGACAACAGAACCGACAATCACCAAAAGGTTTATTTAAACCCTTCATGAAGCTGCAAGAGCGACGAATTTTCAGTTCAGGTCAACTCACCAGTCTAGCTGAGTTCCAACTGGAGTCCAGGGAGAAGAAACTCCAAGTTAAGCTTAACTACTTTAACACTATTGGCGCTTGTGCAGGTGAATGCGCAAGTGGTATGTGAACAGGTCTAGTTGGATAGGAAGACTTGCTGGAGGATCATCCGTTCTCGAAAGCTGTTTCATTCTTAGGACTGAGTGGGATGTGCTGGAAGTCTGGGTTGGCCGCGATTCCGGAGGATGAGACTATATGGCTTGCTTGCAACAACCGACGGTATGCGCTCATACTTGGCGAGAAGTTTGTCTGCTTTAGTGTATATTAAACTTAAAACAGACTGATTCAAAATCTGCCAAAATATCTATGAATATCTATCAAATGAGATTGTCTTTTGGACCACCTTTTGATAATACAGATCGTACTGAGCTCTTCAAATCCTCAACTAGCCATTCTTTTCGAACCTTTTTTAGGTTTTTTGCCTCCCGGCCCGTTACAAATGACTTAGTCCCTGTCAGCTAGTCGCTCCATGTTCACATTTTTCTCTTCACATCTGTTATATTGGAACTTGATCGCGTCCACGGTGTATGCGCATTTGCTCTTTCAAAAGCACCGACCAAGTTGCAGATTTCTAGCTGTTAGCCGTTACCCATTAATTATCTAAACTAGTTTATTGCCCGGAAAGAAGTTAGTCTGAGTTAACCCTTTTACAGCTCCACAACAGTTTGTAGAAGTTTTTTAGATGCTAGTGTAAAGTCTCCTTAAGTAATTGAGTCGAAGAACAAAACGCGAATCCATATAGACCAAACTGTGAAAAACGACGCATCGGTGGGATTCAAACCGACGACAGCAAGGGGAAGGCTTTAGTACAGCCAGCGCTCTAGCCACCTAAACTAGGAATCCCCACCGGAAGACGTGAATTTGATCACATTTGGGTTTAGTTACCCGCCCAACCTACTGCAAGGTCTGCAATCCACCAACTCTGATACGGAAAGCTGACTGCTCAAGCAGGGTTCCTTTAAGTACACCACCTACGTTCTGTTAATTTAAAATGTGAATCATCGTTGGGGGATTGCTAGAGAGAATGATTACGTCCTGTTTTCTAAGCACTGCCAGTGTTGGTGTGAAAGACCGCTTGTAACTATCGGAAGCTGATGCACTTGTTCTAAGTCGATGCCGCAATTAAAAGTGCCAGGCAATGTTTATAGTGCTCAATTACTGCAAAAATCACGTGCGCAATGCAGCAAGCTCGCATAGGGAAAAATGTTTTACAACATCTGTTAGCGTTTATCAAAATCTAGTGCCGCCCTGTTGCAACCTTATTTTGCCAGCATGTCATCTGCGTAAGACCAATGGGCGATCCTACGTTACCGCCTCCAGAAGTTATGTCTGGTCAGGCATTCCGCCCACTAGCAATCAGTTAGCCAATCAAATGTGTCGCAGGACAAAGACCTGCCTTTTGTGACAGCCAAAATTAGATCGCGGGAGGTAATTGACTGAACAGAAATTCATAACGTTGTACTCGCGTCTTTATAGTTTCCCCTCATCCTCTGTGGACTCGCCTGATTTAGACCAAACATTGTCAAAGTAACGCAAGGCGATTGGAGACGCGGTGACATGTTTTGCTCATTCCTTCACAGTAATTCTGTCGGCGTTATTCCGCCGCATAGTGTCTAGGGCGGGTGTGCGTGGAAGTGTGCATAGCGCAGCGTCGACTTCATTGAGGCTATTTCTATACATGCAGCTTGTGTTGATTTCTCGACTACTGAACCAAAACTTGGTCCTCGATTTGGGCAACAGGAAATAAGTGATAGTTTTACAAACGGCGGATAATATTTAATGACTTTGTAAGCAGTTATACCTGGAAATTCACCATGTCTTTTATACTGAGAAAGGACGTGGCCTTTCTTCTGCAGTTTTATAATTTCTGCTTCTACTGTTTATGCAATTTGCCTTTTCTGCTCACTTATTGATCTTCGCCATTCGGTCCTTTGCACTGTCCTAACAACCTCATAATGCTTAAGGTTCCTTGATTGTGTTGTTGTTTTCCATCCTACTATCACCTCTAGTTTCATGTGTTGCGAGGCGCTTCAAGACAAAGAATTAAACAAAACTGTCACGTCCCTCAGAAATATTAGTAATGAACTTCAACGTATCCCCTAAGTTCCAGGGCTTTCTTGTTTGAATTACGATGCCAGAAGTCAAGAGACCCTTAGATTCAGGTGTCTCTAAAGTACTGGTAAATCCGAAACTTTGAGTTAAATTCACGGTCAAAATTTTTCCCCAACCTCCCTCGTTCCCCTGCTCTGATGAACACCTTTGAAAGGAGGAAGAAGCCCTTGCTGTACCTACTTATTCAAGCACATAATGGTTACACCGTATAGCCAGTCCATTGAGTCGAGTGTGGTTTTTCTCAGACCGATCAAAAACGGCATTTGACAACTGAATACGACAGTTCGACTGTCGCAAGCGAAGACCGTTGCCACGTGCTCCAACTATTAGGCGCATCATCTATCGCATCCTCTCCTTCACCTCTCTTGGTCTGTTGGCAAGACAATGTCAAGATCGAATGTTGATGCGGGCGCAGTGGCTGACAAAGCTAAACAAACCGTCTACGCGGGCCACACACACACACAGTGCCCACTCCAAGTGTGCCAGGCTTCTGTAAGGGCCATTGCGGCCTGACTGTCAGTCCGGATAGCGGCCGAGCGCTTCATATTTATTTTAGTGAGGGATGCGCTGATGAGCCGTGAGATGCGTGTATGTGTGGTCTCATGTATCAGCGTCATTTCTTCGACGTCAAGTTTCAACTGAAGTAACATAAAACTGCCTTACCCAGTGGTTCATTGGACGCAGAGCAACTTCGCCTCGACTTCTCGAGCACTTGTGTTTGAGAGATTGGTTTCGGCTGTCATCTAATAAGCGAGGAATATCCCTGGTTTCTGTCTATCATTTTTGAGGACTGGCAGAGGAAATAATCTGTCCACCGATAGAACAGAAGAGGCAACCTGCAGGGAGCATTTGTGGGGAACGCGGTACGATCGTCTGACATTTCGCGGATTCACACTCGGGCCCATCTTGGGAGGCCTGCAGGTAGGGATCTGTAACCCTCTCTCTGATGAAGGGGGTTCGAAGGAAAATCTGGAAACTTCGTACGAATAAGTCCTTCTCACAGTTATCGTACCTCTCAGTCTGGGCGTCCTCCGTCAGAATAAAAACGCAGGACTATCCCACATGAGAAAGCTTTCCATCCTGACCTCGGACATGCCCTTGTTGTGCAACCCCCCAAGTTACTTCCACACCCTCATCAAATTTGCCCACTCTGGACTTGCTGGGTGTAAAGTGATATCCAGTGTTTCCATTTCGTTTAACCAACCTTGAATCCTGTCGTCGTTGGGTGCGTCAAGGAGTGCATGATTGTTCAAGGACTGTCAGACCTTGCCGACTCGGAGAACGCTCTTCACGTAGTCCCAGGGCAGTGACATCAACCGCTATGTCCTTATTTCAGCACTGGATATGATGGCTTCGCCGCGACCGTTCGCAGCCAGAGACTGGAGAACGCCGAGTTGATTACGTCAAGTACCACCAAGAGTGACTACTCCAGTGATTGGCTGGCACACTGGACCCACATCATGAGAGGGTTGGTGTAGTACCCACTGCACGTTAAGACAAGTGTTGGAACCTGTCCCCTCTTGCAGCGACAGCTTGTAGTTCCGGGTGTTTTGTATCCTGGCTTCGTATTCCGTGGGTGGCGGTTTTACCGACTGCGGCTCGCTGTCCTCTTCACTAAGTATTGACATGGTTATCTGGCAGTACACGCCTTCACTTCATCTCTGCGTAATCAGGCGGTCAAGGGCGTCTTTGGCCCACTGGGAAACTACTTTTGCTTGCGGACAGTGCGTAACGCCCATCGTCCATCGGCATGCCAAATCTTAGTGCAGACGGCGAACTTTTTTCGTAATTGTGATATGCATGTAAGTTTCTCTTCCCCACAATAGGAGGTTTACTGTTGGTTAAAGGCCAATGGTAGTTCAGCCGTCACACCCGACGATTTCCACCGTGTGCCCCACAGCAGGTGAAGTAGGCAAGGTGACTTGTGCTTGAACTAGTTTATGGTGAGAGTGGACTTACGCAGCATCTACTGCACCCTCCCCTTCCACATCCACCTTGCTCTGGTATCGAAATACAGTCAAGAAGACCGGAAGCGGGTAGAACACAGGTGGATGACGCGGCCAGACCCGCACCTTGGCGCTCCACCCCACATCCTCTGGTCCACAACATGCACTTGACCAGGGGTTCGACAACAGAAAAGAGGTGGATGACTGGGCAGGCATGCACACGGCCTGTTTACCCAGCGGGAGCGCAAGCTCATCTGCCGCCAGTGAACTAGATATTGGCGAACTGCCAGCGCACACCAGGCTGCGAGGGCCATGGTTTGCTAATCATGGCGTATCAGACGCCCACAAACTTTAGTGCCCTACATCTAGCCTGGGCCATGACCCTTCAAAGGCTGGGTAACCAGTCATTCAGCGATTGAAAGACTACCCATTAAGTAACACCCACCTCTCACATGCGTGAGTGCCACAGGTCACAGAAGGAGCTGTGACAGCCTTGCTCTCGGCCCATTCGTCCGCCACCCCACACGGACACTCAGCTGGGCAGACTGCGTGGGCTGAGTTGAGACGTCAGTCGGTAGCCCTCCAAGCCGCGGTGATAGGTGCCATTGAAGCCCTCTTTACTTGCCTTGCTTAGAAAATTAGGAAGAAGTTGCTTAAAGTGGTAGGTTCTGTCCCCTCATTGCAATCGCCTGTATTTTTCTGTAAAATAGACCAATATGCTTACCTAAGTTTTCGCTTCCATCTTCTAGGTTGCACAGGTAATGGGCAAACTCGGCCGTTTCCTCGACAACAGTGCCATCCAGGCCTACGTAAAACCCACCCTGGAAAAACTTGGTAGTGATCCGGACGCCGATGTGGTCTTTTTTGCTAAACAAGCCTCCGACGCCTTGAGTATGAATGCACGATGACCACTCACACGCACACATGCACACCCACCCTATGACAGTCGGATCAGAGTTCCGTCAGAGAGCGAGAGACT